AAACCCACCAGGAGTCCTGGTGTGGTGCTGTGGGTTAATGCGCTGTACTGCAAGGTTGATTTGAACCATGAGGTCGGTCAGCAGTTCAAACTCACCTCCTTTGAAAACCTATACAGGATCACTATTAGCTGGAACCAGCTAAAGGCATTTAACAACAGTTGTTCCGTGGGAGAAAGACGTGGCTGTCTGCTCCCATAAATGTTTACAGTCTTGGAAACACTAAAGTTCTTTGTTGTGTAGAGTTGCTTTGTTGTTGCTGTTGTTATGTGCCGTGGAGTCGGTTCCGACTCATAGCGACCCTGTACAGGGTTTCCGAGGCTGTTAATCTTTACAGGAGCAGACGCCTTATCTTTATCCCGCGGAGCAACTGGTAGTTTGGAACTGCTGACCTTGCGGTTCACAGCCCGATTTGTAACCACTACGCTACCAGAGTTGCTAGGAGTGGGAATTTACTCTATGGCAGTAGTGTGTGTGTTCCAAAGCTACCTGTAGGGTGTGCTGGATAGCCTTTTAGAAGAATTCAGCAGCATCTGAACTGGGCAGGAGGCAGGAATCAAATTTTTTTTTTTTTTTTTTTACCTTGTCACTACTAAACGTGTTAAGTGATCCCAGAAGCGTTAAGTGTGTGAATACAGAAATGAAATAATAACTCATTTAAAAATGGGTTCTAGATGGTAGAATTATGAAATACGCTGAGTTTCTTTTAGGACTGGAATGGGAGCTCCCAGCAGCCTTTTAGCACCTTTTAGCAGTCCAGTTTCCTGGTAACCAGGACTTTCCTTGGCTTCATTACAGCCAGTAAAATTTTGTTTATTTTATATTTCATTCTATAGGAAGATTTTTTTTTTCCCCCTTGGTGTGGAAAAAACTGCATTTCTCTATTGGAGGAAGCTCTGGTGCCTCAACAGTTAAGCATTTGAATGCTAATTGAAAGACTGGTGGTGATTGGAGAAAGTCTAGGTGTTCTAAGATTATAACTAAGAAAACCTTTTGGGGCAGTTCTACTTTGTCACATGTAGTTACTACAAGTTGGATTAAATTCAAAATCACCCAATAACATTGGGATATAAGAGAGGTTTAGAATATCATATTGTTATAGGTGCCAGGGAGTTTTATATATGTGGTGGTGGTGGTGATGTGCTTTGGAGTAGGTTCCAACTCATAGTGTCCCTGTAGGGTTTCCAAGGTTATAAGTACTTATGGGACCAGATAACCTCATCTTTCTCTCATGGAGAGGGTGGTAGAGTTGACCTGCTGACCTTGTGATTAGCAGCTAATCCACTATGCTATCAGAGCTCATATATATATATATATTGTTTGTGTTGCTAAGTGCTGTTGAGTCAGTTCTGATTCACAGGAACCTGGTATAGGCGTTCCGAGAAACAGTTGCTGAGTATGAACACCGACTTTGCTGTTTAAACCAACCTTGAGGTCCAGTACTTATCCTACAGTACCACACCAGGACTTCATTATATGTATGTACTAACCCTTTGATATCTAGTAAACTAAAAAAAATCAAAGCCTATTTAGTTGCTGTTGAGTTGCTTCTGATTCCTGGGTGCTCCATGTGTTACAAAGTAGAAATGCCCCCCATAGAGTTTTCAAGGCTGTGACCTTTTGGAAGCAGATCTCTAGGCCTTCTTCCAAGGTATCTTTATGTGGGTTAGACCTGCCAACATTGTTAGTAGTGAAGTGCTTAACTGTTTTTGCCATCCTTGGACTTACTATCTAATAAGACTTACTATCTAATAAGAGTTACTATCTAATAATAATGAATTCAAATTTCAGAATAACTTTTTTTTTTAATCCATAGGAAGGTATCTCTAATTCTGAAATTTCAGACACGGGGAATAGGACAATAGGAGAAATATTTTGGGTAGGAATTACCTTACTGGAATTAATCAAATCATATTGTTAAGATGACAGACTACTCAAAATAACTCTCTTCCCTTCTGCTGCCAAATTAATAATAATCAAATAAGGGACAGTGGCTTTTGGGTATTAAATCCCAAACAGATAAGTTAAAAAGTGACCAATTTGTTAATAAGTAGAAGTTTTAAAAATAATTTCTACATTTCCATAGATTAAAATTTTACCTGGGAACAAAAAAAGATCACAACTGGAATCTACCTGTGAATTTAGAGTAGACAAAACCTACACCTTTAAGACAGGAATGACCACCATCCTGCATCACTCTCCTAGTAAAAGCCACCATCATTCTAATGACTAGTTTTTAAGAAATGAATGTGAGTTAAACTTTTTTTTTTTCCTAGTTCTACTCTCTGAAAAGTTATCTACCTAATAAAACAGATCAGTTTCTCCATCATTAACTATGGGTGTGTTTGGACGGTTGGATAAATAGATTTGTGCAATGTTTGCCAAACTTTCATCATCATAGGATTCAATTGGGACTCTAGTTAAGAAATAGATTCTCCTCCTTGAAAGACTTTGACTCATTAGATCTGGAGTAGTGCCCAAGGGATCAGCATCTTTGAGAAATGCTCTAAATAAGACTTATAGTCATATCCATTTGGGAAATCCAACGTTTAAAAAATCTTTTTGACGTATGATTCAATTTGAACAAAGCATGCATTCTAGATGATCCTCATCATTCCCATACCTAGGTCAGCATGAAGGGAAAACTGAATTTCTGAACGTTTTGGATGATTTCTTTCTTTCTTTTTTTTTAAATGGCTAACACCAGTCAATTTCAGCTCACTAATGCCTAAGATATCTATGTTTATGTGTTCCATTTAAATTTTTTTAATGCTTTATTGTGAATTATGTGATAGTTTACATGGGAGAACATTAGCATTACATTCATCCTATCGTATATCGTTTCATTGCCATGGTTACAATCCCCTCCATGTTTGGATGATTTCTTTTTTATTTTAATTAATTAATTAATTAAATGTTTTATTGTGTATTATGTGATAGTCTACATGGGGGAACATTAGTTTTACATTCATTCCATCATACATCGTTTCATTGCCATAGTTACCATCCGTCCATGCATCATCACCCAACCAAAGGGTATACCCTGCAGTCCCGCCCGCCCTCCCCTCACGGTCTTCAGCACACAGCCCCTCTCCCTCTCTGGATCCCAGTCCCCAGCCACTCCATCTCTTCATGTCATCCTCTCTCTTCACATCATCCTCTCTGTCTCAGTCTCAGGCCTCACTGCTCCTCTGGGTGGGGGTCCCGCTCTCTGCTTTTCTCCATTGATGGTCCCAGGGCCCTCCGCTCCTAGACTAAAAGGTTAATCACTCCCCTCCTTGCTATAAAATGTCCACCTTTACATTTCCAGTCCTCACAATCAGTCCTGGTAAAAATTATTCACCCTTGCATCCCAAGGGACCCATCTGCATTTCTTTTCATCTGCCCTTCCTAGACAGGTCGGATACTACTCACTGGAGACTCTACCATCCTCCCTGCCTTGTGGATCTAGGTTCCCTCTTGAAAGCTTGTAAGCCAGTCACTTCTTACCTTTGTATCCCTTCTCCCATTTTTGGTTAGTCAATGTTCAAGTTGTCCATCCCTATCTACTCTTTGTGTAGAGGGGGTGGGAATAATTCTTGGAGCAGGGATTTGTTTCCTCTTTTGAGCTACTGCATTTATAGGTGGATGTCCAGTTTATCAAATTGTATCAGATGACGCTTTTTTCCTCTTCTTTCTTCTTCGGGTTGAGCTCTGTTCATCCCATCATTGGAGCCATGGCAAGTGGGTATCATCTGCAAGTGTGGGTGTTCCTGCATCTGTCTGCCTTCTTCTTATCAGTTGGTCACTCCAGTCTCCACTTTAGTCCTCTGTGGATATGTCACTGACTCTGAGCCCATGAGTCTCCAGGTCTTGCCTCACTGCTGGCCAACCAGGTCTCCACCCGGGCTCACCATAGTCTGCTGAACGATGTTGGATGATTTCTTTTTATATGAAAGTCTACTCTTGATGTATTCATATTTGTTATTCCTGTGTTTGGAGTAGTTTCACCCATTTTAATATCTCAGCTATACTTGACGTATAATCCTAAAGTCATTGCTCTTGAATTATGAACTCACACTTTTGTTTGACCTTACTAAGAAAGAGTACAGATTTAGGGTATGGTTAGAAAGAGGGACTTAGATATTTAGGAGTCATACAGATCTGGGCTTGCATGTCCATTCTGCTAGCTGTGTGATCATATGATCATGGCTAAGTCACTCAGCCTCCCTCAGAATCTGATTGCTCATCTATAAAATATGAATAGGCTTTTAACACCAATTATCTCCCTTACTCTTTACACAGCAGTATGAGATAATTATGCCTTTCTGGTATTATCCCCATTATATAACTGAGAAAACTAAGACATTGAGATGCAAGTAACTTGCCCAAGTTCTCACAGCTTAGAAATAGCAAATTCCTACTTACTCATAGGATTATGGGAAGGATTAAATTATAAATCCTTACATATTTCTAACTGTGAATCCTTCTACAATTTCTAAAGGAGAGCTAGCATTATAAACATTTGGGTTTGGCTAATAGAATGAATATGACAAGTAGAGTATCTTTAATCAAGAGTTTCCAGCTAAGCAAAAAAGCATGGTTTACTTCAAAGAAAAATAAAGTCAGTAACAACAAGGGTACGCTCTTTGAAGTTGCATTTGGCTCAGTAATTGAAGTAGAGATGATACCTTGAATCTTTGTTACTTCTACTTTGTGAAATGTTTTCTAATATCAATATATTGCTATGAGGATGAAAATGTCAAACTATAAAACAGCTGCTGCATCCAAAAACAGAGGTCCTTACAAGCCTGAGTTTGTCACCAGGGTTTGGATAGTTTCTGATCAGGTATGAGTTGCCAGCCTAGGTTTCTATCCTTATATAGCTGCGTGAATGAAATATGATCAAAGTTGCTCAAGATGTCTCTCAGAAAAACCCAAACAAAACAAAACCAGTGAACAGCTATGATTCACCTTGAAATTGCAGAACAATCTATTTAAGAAACAAGAAAAAATTCACTTACTTTGAATCTCCACAGACCTCCGATATCTTCAGTCCTCTCAAAGCAAGTAGGTTCAAGTCCCTCGTCTATACAGCATTTGAGAGAGATCAGGCCGCTGACCCCAGCTCCAATTACGGCCACCTTTTTTGCCATGGTCTCTTGTCAAGGAATTGATCACTCAATTCTGTTTAAATGGGGCAAAGGATAAGAGAGTCCTTATGGTGTGATCACCTAAGTGACTTTAAGCACTGTAGTAGTAGTAATTTAATATGCTGCACTAATTGAATAAAATGCACCACTAGTCAAATCCCAGACTTCTCTTCACCTTGAAAATTCTTCTTTCATGGACTTTAATGCAAACCTTGTTTACAACTTTTTGGTTTAGTATTTAAAAGTAACCAATTTAACAAAAACAAACTATTCAATAACATTGTACTAGGGATGTGAGTCAAGTATCCAGTTACATGCTTTCCAGTGCAGAGCTTACCCTTTGCAGTTTTTTCCCCAGCTATCATCCTTACCTTTGTTATTTGGATTTTTGGCACTGTCCCTTTGACAGAATAGTTTTCTCAGTTGGTTGTGCACTGGGAGGCAGGCAGTCAGAGCATTTTAAGAGTGGGAGGAGGCTGTAAGAAATGGGAAGAACATCTCCCTCCTCCTTCAGTATTCTGCCAGCTGAAATTCCAAGGACTTTGTTAGAACTCTGGAAATTAAGCAAGAAGTTCATATTTTAAGGTCAAGTGTACAGATGTAATGCCTTTAGAGTGGCAGTATTATACACTTACATTCATAGCATACAGATGATTTTAATATCTACCTTATAATGGATGTAATAAGTGTTCATTTGGAAATTAGCAAATATGGATAAATAAATAAAAAGAAGCTAAAATTACTCCTAAAAGCATTATCCAGAGATAACTATAACCATATAACCACTGTTGACAGTTTGGTGTATTATTCCACATATTTATATATGCTTACCTATGCACACACAAAGCTAGGATTACACTTTAAGTATAATTCCCTTCTTCATTTTCCCGTTTCCCAGCATATCAATATCTTTATTTCTTTAACAGTGTTTCTTAGTGGTTAGGTGAATTCTATATAGTCAGTGGATCAATCATGCATCTAACAAATACTCATTTCTAAGTACTAAGTATGATTCCCTGGGCGGCACAAATGGTTTGAGCTTGAAGAGCAGAGATGTCAGCTTGAGGACTAAGGTGTGCCTGACCCAGACCATTGTGTTTTCAATAGCCTCATATGGATGCGAAATCTGGACAGTGAATAAGGAAGATCGTAGAA